CTCCTTTTTTAAACTCCCTTTCGCTCTCTGGTGAGTATATCCAGTCTCTGGCATCATACCTCTAGCAATAAAAATTTAAAAAAAAAAATTTTTTTTAAGCCAAAAACAGGGACCAGCAGTTAGCATAATGGCTATGTCTCTGAACTCCCATATAGCTGTGGTTTGAGTCCCAAACCCGGTGGCTTAAACTCATGCTGGGCACGTGTGCTTGCATGCGTGTGCAAGATCCCGAGAGGAGAATAGAGGAGAAGGGATTGTGGTGTGGCCATCCCCCCAGAGGGGATTTCTCTCTCTTTCTCTCTCTCTCTCTCTCTCTCTCTCTCTCTCTGGTGAGCCCATGTGCCTTATAGCAAAAACCTCTCCAAAAAAAAAAAAAAATAGCCAGAAGTCTGTTTTGAACTTCTAGCCTTTCAGAAATTTTAGCCTAACTCTTTGTGCCACTTATTGCTTCGGTTTTACACCACAAGGTATTGAATATGTGCTGACCTCACCAATAACCCTGTGTCCTTAACTGCCTGTCTAGGGGCAGTGACTATGCATCCATTCAGCAGGTGTCTAAGTTTCCTCATGTGCCACACTGTGCTATGAGAATGCAAACATGACCCAACAGCCGTGAGCCCTGCCCCAGGGAGCTTGCCTGTGAGCTAATGATAGTTGCCAGCTTCTTCTGGAATGCCTCCTAGATATAACACACTGAGCTAAGCACAGCTTTGTCCATATAATCTTCATCACAGCTTGAAGTATGCGGGTTTTTCTTATTAGCCTTTTACACATGAGGTGCCTGAGACATGGAGATGGCAAGTCATTTGCGTGGGGTCCCACACCTAGTAAGGGGGAGAGTGAAGCTGTAAAACCTGGTCTATAGACTTTAAAGCCATATTCTCAACCCCTCCCCAGGCTGTCCCAGGTGTTGGTGCCAGTGTTACATGAGTCAGTGGAGGACTTTGTAAGTTCTGCATGAACCGTGTCCTTGACTTTCATGTACCCTGTTCTCTTTCCATAGATTGAGCCATATATGCCGTATGAATTCACATGTGAGGGGATGCTGCAGAGAATCAATGCTTTCATCGAAAAACAGGTAAGGCTCATCAGGTCTGCTTTGTCCTGCTTCCTGGTACCCCAGAGGACTCCCGAGAATAGTTAAGAGTCGCTGTGTTCCTAGAAGCTGGATAACGGCTTGCTGAAATTCTAAAGCAGCAAAGTCATGGCCTTTCTAGGGGACTGGTCTTTCCCTGGGGTAAGTACATCCTTGATAGCAGCAGCAGGTCTAATGGGATCTCATACCAGGATTGACCGAGTGGCCATGATGGAGACCTCCCAACCACCAAGGCCTGCATCAAGTGGGTTCTGAGGGGCATCACGAAGACTTGAAGGGGCCATCCCCCCAGAGGGGATTTCTCTCTCTTTCTCTCTCTCTCTCTCTCTCTCTCTCTCTCTCTGGTGAGCCCATGTGCCTTATAGCAAAAACCTCTCCAAAAAAAAAAAAAAATAGCCAGAAGTCTGTTTTGAACTTCTAGCCTTTCAGAAATTTTAGCCTAACTCTTTGTGCCACTTATTGCTTCGGTTTTACACCACAAGGTATTGAATATGTGCTGACCTCACCAATAACCCTGTGTCCTTAACTGCCTGTCTAGGGGCAGTGACTATGCATCCATTCAGCAGGTGTCTAAGTTTCCTCATGTGCCACACTGTGCTATGAGAATGCAAACATGACCCAACAGCCGTGAGCCCTGCCCCAGGGAGCTTGCCTGTGAGCTAATGATAGTTGCCAGCTTCTTCTGGAATGCCTCCTAGATATAACACACTGAGCTAAGCACAGCTTTGTCCATATAATCTTCATCACAGCTTGAAGTATGCGGGTTTTTCTTATTAGCCTTTTACACATGAGGTGCCTGAGACATGGAGATGGCAAGTCATTTGCGTGGGGTCCCACACCTAGTAAGGGGGAGAGTGAAGCTGTAAAACCTGGTCTATAGACTTTAAAGCCATATTCTCAACCCCTCCCCAGGCTGTCCCAGGTGTTGGTGCCAGTGTTACATGAGTCAGTGGAGGACTTTGTAAGTTCTGCATGAACCGTGTCCTTGACTTTCATGTACCCTGTTCTCTTTCCATAGATTGAGCCATATATGCCGTATGAATTCACATGTGAGGGGATGCTGCAGAGAATCAATGCTTTCATCGAAAAACAGGTAAGGCTCATCAGGTCTGCTTTGTCCTGCTTCCTGGTACCCCAGAGGACTCCCGAGAATAGTTAAGAGTCGCTGTGTTCCTAGAAGCTGGATAACGGCTTGCTGAAATTCTAAAGCAGCAAAGTCATGGCCTTTCTAGGGGACTGGTCTTTCCCTGGGGTAAGTACATCCTTGATAGCAGCAGCAGGTCTAATGGGATCTCATACCAGGATTGACCGAGTGGCCATGATGGAGACCTCCCAACCACCAAGGCCTGCATCAAGTGGGTTCTGAGGGGCATCACGAAGACTTGAAGGGGGGCGGGAGACAGAGAGATGGTTCTCTGGTCCTGCCTTGTCTCCATTTCTCACCCTAATGAAGGCAAGGACTAAAATCATTGGTTTCTGGGTGTTCCTATAATAAAATATTTCTAGTCATTCTGAACAGGTTAGAGTTTCTTAGTGGTTTTCAAATATCTTTCAAAACAGGGCCCCCTTTTAAATGAAACTTAACATATATAAAACAGTAAAAGCAGGACTTTGGTCTCAAAGTAGGAGAGGATGCTGAGAGTCTCGCCACCCCCAGCCAGGTTTGGACACTACAGCTGATGGGAAAGCCAAGAGTATCATTGCTGTCATTTTGGTACATTTTAATTTCTTGGGCTTCAGAGGCCGCACACAGCTCAAGATAGACTGAGAACCTCCATGGGGAAGGGGGTATGAACTCCTTGACCAGATACCAGGATTAAACGGCTCCTCTTAAAGGGCAAAGTGGATCTGTGCACAGTAGAGAACAACTATGCAGGCTGAAAACAGAAGTGCTATGTTGAAATTTGGAGTAGTGAGATTATAGGCCCAAGGTGGGTTTCAGAGGAAGAGCTGGTCCCTGGAGGTGACTGGACCTGTGGTGACCAGATGATGGCCATGGGTGCTGCTGGCAAAGAAGGAGAACCCTGGGCCATGTGCTTCAGCTGGTGGGTCTGATATTCTGAGGTTTTATTGGCAGCAGGAGAACTTGCTGTGCAGCCAGCCACCTGCGTTCAACTCCTAGCACCAAGAGTTTCTGGTTTCGTGACTTGGGCATGTTTTTCAGCTTTCTCTGAGCCTTCACTTCCCCCTCTATAAAATGAGGATAATAATAGGACGTGCTTCATAGGGCCAATGTGAAGATTAAATGAGCTTACATATATGAGGTGTTTAGATGGGCCTTGGCCCATGGCTCCCAATAAAGGCAAGCTCCTGCTGTTTATGAGTTGATGCATTAGGTTGTCTGAAAAGTCATGATGTGTTTTGCTATGTAAAAATGTGTCATGACTTTTCCAACAACCTAATACATGCTACCATATATTCTAGTATAGTATAGTATATTGTAATGTACCATGTTGTAATACACTGTAATTATAGATATTACTCATAAGACTACCATAAGAGCTAAGTATTTGAATCATTATCTCATTTGGTCTTTATTTGACCCAAACATCACAGTGTCATCATATCTCTAGCAACCCTACGCACAGTTAATGTGCCAGCGTGTGCCAAACATGAGGTGTGTATGAGCTCGTTTAGCCCTGATCATAATCCTAGGCAGTGGTAGCAGTGACCCTGCTCTCTGGCTGATGGTAATTGCCACTCTGTTACGGAACTCACAAGTGGTGGAGTCACGACTTGCTGCTGGTTTGGCATGAGACCACAAGTGCATCGCTGGCATTAGCTGAGGTGTCAAGGAATGGCAGGTGTCTCAGGGTTTGCTTCCCAACTTCTCTCCCCTCAAAGGACTGCCCACCCTTCCTGAAGGTGCAGAGGGGCAGCTGGACCTGCTTCGTGGTTTTTAAGATGTCACATCTCTTATTACTGCCTCTCTTAAGATGGTACCCAGACCCCTGCAGCTGGTTCTGAAAGTCTTGTCCTCCTTTCTTGTCTCCACTTCTCTCAGGGAAAATATTGATAGTTACTCACCAGCAGGCATAAGTGATTCTTGATTAGGTTTACCTGGAGGCATTTAGAACTGGCCATGTAGCCTAGTGGTTGGGAGAGCCAGATCCCATGTGGTTGACCGCTGTTAGAATTCTGGCCTCAGCAGCTTGAAATACATACGTTGGGCATCCATGTGCGTGCCTGAAATCTTGATAGGATGGTGAAGTAGAGGAGAAGGGATCATGGTATGACCATGCCATGGTGGAGGAGAAGGGGTGCTTTCTCCCTCTCTCTGTCTCATCTCGCTCTTTCTCTTTCTGGAAAATGCACATGCCCTCTGGCAACTATAACAAAAGGAAAGGGGGGGGTTATGTATTTCTCCCTTGAGGTTCATGAATCCCAGCCAGCCCTTTAAAATTCTCAGGTGCTCTGTAAGTCTGTCGAGGCTTCCTTATACCCAAGAGGGTCCCATTCCTCAAACAAACCTTATGGAATACACTACAGTGCACAGGATACACCTCTCTGTGCACCGTGATATCCCAAATGACTCAAGCCCCCCTGGACCCAGAGTGCTCTGTAACTCCCAGTCGGAAGAATGAATCAATAAATGAGAAGATGAGTATGCTTTTTTCCTCCACATGTACAAGGAACCAGGAAACTTATCTTTGGCTTGTGATTTGTAAAACATGTTACTAAAATATGACTTTTCCAACAACCTAATACATGCTACCATATATTCTAGTATAGTATAGTATATTGTAATGTACCATGTTGTAATACACTGTAATTATAGATATTACTCATAAGACTACCATAAGAGCTAAGTATTTGAATCATTATCTCATTTGGTCTTTATTTGACCCAAACATCACAGTGTCATCATATCTCTAGCAACCCTACGCACAGTTAATGTGCCAGCGTGTGCCAAACATGAGGTGTGTATGAGCTCGTTTAGCCCTGATCATAATCCTAGGCAGTGGTAGCAGTGACCCTGCTCTCTGGCTGATGGTAATTGCCACTCTGTTACGGAACTCACAAGTGGTGGAGTCACGACTTGCTGCTGGTTTGGCATGAGACCACAAGTGCATCGCTGGCATTAGCTGAGGTGTCAAGGAATGGCAGGTGTCTCAGGGTTTGCTTCCCAACTTCTCTCCCCTCAAAGGACTGCCCACCCTTCCTGAAGGTGCAGAGGGGCAGCTGGACCTGCTTCGTGGTTTTTAAGATGTCACATCTCTTATTACTGCCTCTCTTAAGATGGTACCCAGACCCCTGCAGCTGGTTCTGAAAGTCTTGTCCTCCTTTCTTGTCTCCACTTCTCTCAGGGAAAATATTGATAGTTACTCACCAGCAGGCATAAGTGATTCTTGATTAGGTTTACCTGGAGGCATTTAGAACTGGCCATGTAGCCTAGTGGTTGGGAGAGCCAGATCCCATGTGGTTGACCGCTGTTAGAATTCTGGCCTCAGCAGCTTGAAATACATACGTTGGGCATCCATGTGCGTGCCTGAAATCTTGATAGGATGGTGAAGTAGAGGAGAAGGGATCATGGTATGACCATGCCATGGTGGAGGAGAAGGGGTGCTTTCTCCCTCTCTCTGTCTCATCTCGCTCTTTCTCTTTCTGGAAAATGCACATGCCCTCTGGCAACTATAACAAAAGGAAAGGGGGGGGTTATGTATTTCTCCCTTGAGGTTCATGAATCCCAGCCAGCCCTTTAAAATTCTCAGGTGCTCTGTAAGTCTGTCGAGGCTTCCTTATACCCAAGAGGGTCCCATTCCTCAAACAAACCTTATGGAATACACTACAGTGCACAGGATACACCTCTCTGTGCACCGTGATATCCCAAATGACTCAAGCCCCCCTGGACCCAGAGTGCTCTGTAACTCCCAGTCGGAAGAATGAATCAATAAATGAGAAGATGAGTATGCTTTTTTCCTCCACATGTACAAGGAACCAGGAAACTTATCTTTGGCTTGTGATTTGTAAAACATGTTACT